CCCGCCACAACGCCCGGCTATTTTTTGGTTGCAACCGTCATTGTTGTTTGGCGGGTCCGGGCTGGGGATTCGAACCCGCCACCCTGGGTGTACGTGGCTGGCGCCTTAGCCCATTGAGCTATAGGCGCTGAGCCTAATAACTTTATTTCACCCTCACACACACTCTGCCACCTCGTCCCTCCTTTTGTGCTTTTTGCAGTAACCTGACTGCTCTCCTCAGCTTGGATTTTGCTAATAAATTTCCTCACAAACCTTAATACTTAGGAAAAGCCTCTGGTCCCCACCATCCTTGCCAAGTAGTTCCTGTGCCTGTTGGTCCTTACAAGGTAAGGGGTCCATCCAACTTCCTCTGGCTAAGAAGATGCCCTCCTCTGCCCGCTTGGCAAACAATGTCTAGAGTGTCGCTTGTGGAGATGGACCACCAGTCACCAGGAAGTGCTCTGACCTTTCACTCCTGCCATGGTACAAACACAAGAGAGCAGTTTCCTTTGGAAGAACTCCCACAGCCCCAGGAAAGGTCCCAGTCCACACTCCAACCACTGGTTCCCCCCTCTGCCCTTCAGGGCATTCAGAAATCTCCTAAGGCTGGCTCAGCGCCTATAGCATAGTGGTTATGATGCCAGCCACATAAACCAAGGGTGGCGGGTTCGAACCCGACCTGGGCCAGCTAAACAACGACAACTGCAACAAAAAATAGCTGGGTATTGATGGTGAGTGACTGTTGTCCTACCTACTTGGGAGGCTGAGGCAAAAGAATCACTTAAGCCTAAGAGTTTGAGGTTGCTATGAGCTGTGGCGCCACAGCACTCTACTGAGGGCAACATAGTAAGACTCTGTCTCAAAAAAAAAGACATCTCCTAAAGCTGTTTAGTGACCCTGAGGTCCTGCTCCTCCATCAGCTCAACCCAGCTGGGGAGCTGCCCCCTGGGTGGGCTTTGTCCCTTTTGTCAGAGTGGAGCCTCTGGAAGGAGCCTACCAGCCAGGGGCACTGTGGAGCACCTGGGGCAGGGACCCTTGCCTCTCTTGTCCGACTGAGGATCCCCTAAGGGTGGGGGCTGAGTGGCCCCTCAGACTGGGGGTGCCCTCAACAGGCTAGAATCTCCCTAAGGTCACAAAGGGGAACAGCTTGCTTTCTAAGCAGCCCAGTGCCTACAGGCTGCCTCGGTCCTTCAGCTTTGCAGGAAGGTGCTGTCTGGCCTCAGTGTTCCCATCTCTAATGGGGTGAGTCTTCCCCACAGTCTGTGAAACTATAAGAGGGAGTACATGTTAGGTTAGCTGGCAGCAATGCTGAGTCTTCCTTTTGATGAAGCTTAAGGCAAAATTGAATGGGAGTCTAGGTCCCCACCCCCACTATTCTCCTTCCCTGGGATGAGCAAGCGGGAACTGAGTCACCCCCTTCCTCATCCTTGGCAGCAATGCCAGTGACCTTGCATGTGGCAGACTCAGGTGGTAAGGCCCATTGCTCAGAAATGCACAAGCTGGGTGGGTGGGTAGGGAAGTGGGGGTGGAGGCAGCTGAAGGCTGGGGGTGAGGGTGACCAGGGACATGTCTCATGGAGTGGGTATGTGGAGGGGTTTGTGGGACACATGATGAACTGGTTGCTCTGTGTTGGGAAGTGATCCAATGTCATGGCTGGGAGTGGGAGAGAAAAATGTTACTTCCGAAGACTCTGAATCCTGTAGTCTTGCCAGGAGAACTGGGGGCTGGGAGGACAGCTGAGGAGAGGCATCACCATCCTCACCAGGCAGAGGCAAGATGGGGTGGAGGCGGCACCTGCCGATTATGCCAAAGTCCTAGGGTGACAGCTGACACCATCACCAAGGCACAAATGCCAGAGGAGACCTGGCAGTCACCACTTGGGGGCTGGATTCTGGTTCCACAGGGATTCTGTTTCCTGTTGGCCTGCCAAGCTCAGAGGCTGACCTGATAATAATTCAAGCGAAGGATGTCTAGTGCAAGGCCTCCCAGCTCCTCATCACAGGGCCACCTGGCTAGGTGGTCCCAAGGGACAAACTAACTCCTCCTGAACCACAGAGGCTGCCAATGTGCTGGCAACATGGGTGTTGCAGGAAGATGCATCTGGGTCCTCATCCTGGCTCTAGAATTTATTAGACGGGTAGCTTTGGACAAATGAAATAATCTCCCAGAGCCTCCTTATGTGAAAAACTAGGGGTCTGCCGGCCTTGTTGAAAAAATTAAATTAGTGGCCCCCCAAATTATACTTCTTCCTTTCTTTGTCTTTGGATATGAGCTTATGTTGCCTTCAGCCTTTCTCCTGGTGTGAATAGATGACAGGGCCCCAGGCTGGAAGGAGACCTGGGTTCCTGGCCTGCCTTTGCCCCAAGATGCATGTGGCAGATACCACTAATTGTCTCATAATATACATTCCCATTTTCTCCCTAGTAATGGGGTCCTTGATTTTAAGCTGGGCACATGGTTGCTTGAAATAAATACTACATTTCTCTGGCTCCTTTGCACCTAGATGTGGTTATTTTTATTATTATTATTATTATTATTTTTGAGACAGAGTCTCATTATGTCGCCCTCAGTAGAGTGCTATAGTGTCACAGCTCACAGCAACCTTAGACTCTTGGATTTAAGCAATTCTCTTGCCTCAGCCTCCCAAGTAGTTGGTACTACAGGTGCTGGGACAACACCCTGCTATTTTTTGTTGCAGTTGTCATTGTCATTTAGCTGGCCTGGGCCGGGTTCGAACCCACCACCCTTGGTATATGTGGCTGGCGCCGTAACCACTGTGCTATGGGAGCTGAGCCCCTAGATGTGATTATATGACTAAGATTTGCCAGTGACTTTTAAATAAAAGGGTCATATGGCAACTTCCAGAAATCTTCAGTTGATTGATATATAGCCCTTCCCCCTTCTTCTTTGTTCC